ATGATATAATTGCCCAAGTAGACGTTGCTCTCAGGGGCCTGGGTCAGATCGCTGCAGACGTAGCAAGATCTGAAATCGTTGCAACCCTCAAAAAAGCTAAGATGCCAGCTAGCAACCTCAGCAAAGATGAGCGTTTTGAATTATATAAATTAAAAAAGAGGGATGATATTGTAGTCCTCTCAGCTGACAAGGGCAATGCTACTGTCATCATGGATAAAATAGAATACAACAACAAAATTAAAGAATTACTCGACGATGGTAGTTATACAAAAATAAAAAGAGATCCCACCAACAGCCTCGTCACACAAACCAACAAAATAATTTCTGATTCAACCGCATTAATTGATCAATCTAAACAGTTTTCGTTGAAACCTTCTGCTGCCAGGCCACCAAGATTATACGGCTTACCAAAAATACATAAAGTAGATACACCCCTTCGTCCCATCGTCTCTACTATCAACTCCCCCACCTACAAACTGGCTCGTTTTTTGTCTGAAATCCTGCGTCCTTTCACTGGAAAAACCACCTCTGCGGTACAAAATTCTACTCACCTGGTATCGACAATCAAGGGTATTTCCCTGTCCCCAGACGACCTGCTTGTCAGTTTTGATGTAGTTTCCTTATTCACCAAGGTTCCTGTACCTGACACCATCGCAATCATTGAAGACTTGGTTGATCAAGGACTAAACACTGAGGTACCCCCCCTGGTGAGACACTGTTTAACCAATACATACTTCACTTTGAATGGAACTTTATACAAACAAACTGAGGGCACCCCAATGGGCTCCCCCCTATCTCCGGTTATAGCTAACATTTTCATGGAGAAATTTGAGACTGACGCCATCCAGACTGCCACTCTGCGCCCAACCTTATGGAAGAGGTACATGGATGACACTTTTGTCATCTGGCCACATGGCCGGCCTGCTCTAGACCAATTCTTCGACCACATCAATTTCATACACCCAGCCATCAGATTTACCATGGAAATCGAAAAAGATGGCAAGCTACCTTTTTTGGATGTCCTAATTAAAAAGAGACCTGATGGTTCAATGAGCCACTGTTTACAGGAAAGCTACCCATACGGATGCTTATCTGAAACCGGATTCCCACCACCATCCATCACAGAAGAATTCTCTCATCAAGACTCTGTATCATAGAGTCCAATGCATATCCGACCAGGAACACATAGGCAGTGAACTCAAGCACGTACACCAAGCTCTTAAGGCTAATGGTTACTCCGACTATACAATCCGCAAAGCTACCACTCAAACCATGAAGGACCCTCTTGAGGAGCTTTTCAAAACCATCACTTTACCCTACATTGCGGGGATCACAAAAAAGATCTCCAAAATCTTGAATAAACACAAGACCCAGGTCCGTTTCAACACATTACATAAAATCCGTGATCTGGTTCCGTCTGTAAAAGATGTGATTCCGGACATACAATACCCTGGTGTCTACAAACTAAGTTGCCTCTGTGGTAGTAGTTACATTGGAGAAACCAAACGCCATGTTTCGGACCGCATTCGTGAACACAAAGCAGACCTTAAACACGGTAGGACCAACACCTCGGCCGTGGCAGATCACTGTTATAATTCAGTAGGCTCACATGACATTGACTTCTCCAAGACAGAGGTTCTTTGCAAGCCATCTGGCTACCATGAGAGATTCGTTCATGAGGCTATCCACATAAACAAGCACGGAGACAATTTCAACCGAGAAGATGGATTCTGGCTTAGCAATCATTGGAAGGATTTGATAAACCATTTCAGGTCTTAATTGATTGTTCACGCTTACGGTGGCTTTGAGACAGCATACATTAAAATTTTTCGTCTCCCCCCTCCTTTTTTCATAACATACATGGACTCGTCCTTCTAAATAAACTGCCAAATCGCTGCGCGTGGCGCTGACGTTTTTAATTAATAAATAAATACACCGTTTAAAAATAAATAAATTAATGCAAACCGACACACCTGATGACGACCGTTTGTGTTATGGTCGAAACGTCGTGATAATTTTTATTGTTTTATATATATTATTATTTTATTGTTTCCCTTCAACGTGATTTTACCGAAAGAGCTAAGAATATGAATTACTGCAGTCACGAAAGCTTTAAATAAAAAAAAGTCTTAACCCCTGTTTTGTGGCCAGAAAAAAGGGGAACAAAAAACCTATTATCATATGTTGGTCCTGGCAAAGGAGGTCCCATGATGTAGATGCTCACCCCGAGCTCTCATTACTCTGATAGTGGCATTGTCTTTGTGCTGTTCGCCTTTTGGCGTCCTCTGGTCTAACACCGTCTGAGACAAGGCTCAAAAGAAAGCTGTCTCTGGTGTGAACCAATCAATCTCAAAGACAATGCATCATATTATCAGAGTATGTTTTTTTCTTTGCATTCTGACCACAATCATAGTGGTTAATGCAGACGTGATTCCTTGTAAAAATGTTTCCGTTTGGAGTTTTAACATCTTAACCCCTTCGATTTAAAGCTTTCGCGACTGCAGGGATTCATATTCTTGGTTCTTTCTGTTTTGTTGCCAGAAAAAAGGGGAAAACCCTACAAATAAAATGTCGATCACTTAACTGTTCTTTTAAGGCCACTTCTCACTGCGCGTACAGTGCCGGCGTTGTACAGTGCGAACAGTGTCTACTGTACACGCATATGGGTGCTGCTGTACGCATACAGTGCGCACAGTGCTTGGTGCGTACCGTGTTCAGTGTGTACAGTGTGGTGTGCGCAGTGCACGTGGTGTGTACAGTGTGGTGTGCGCAATGCGCGTGGTGTGCACGGTGTGGTGTGCGCAATGCGCGGTGTGGTGTGCACGGTGTGGTGTGCACGGTGTGGTGTGCACGGTGCGGTGTGCACGGTGCGGTGTGCACGGTGCGGTGTGCACGGTGCGGTGTGCACGGTGCGGTGTGCACGGTGCGGTGTGCACGGTGCGGTGTGCACGGTGCGGTGTGCACGGTGCGGTGTGCACGGTGCGGTGTGCACGGTGCGGTGTGCACGGTGCGGTGTGCACGGTGCGGTGTGCACGGTGCGGTGTGCACGGTGCGGTGTGCACGGTGCGGTGTGCACGGTGCGGTGTGCACGGTGCGGTGTGCACGGTGCGGTGTGCTGTGTGCAGTGCGTAACGTGTACAGTTCGTTGTGTGTACAGTACGGGCGAGGCTGCTGCTGCTGCTGCTGGTCCTGCTGAATTCGTCAAGAGACGTGCAGCGGAGAGGCGGGAGGAGCGAGCCGCCCGGAGTGGGGCTTGAGGAGCCCGGGAGGTGTACCAGGGGTAGCCGGGAGGTGTACCAGGGGTAGCCGGGAGGTGTACCAGGGGTAGCCGGGAGGTGTACCAGGGGTAGCCGGGAGGTGTACCAGGGGTAGCCCGGGAGGTGTACCAGGGGTAGCCCGGGAGGTGTACCAGGGGTAGCCCGGGAGGTGTACCAGGGGTAGCCCGGGAGGTGTATCAGGGGTAGCCCGGGAGGTGTATCAGGGGTAGCCCGGGAGGTGTACCAGGGGTAGCCGGGAGGTGTACCAGGGGTAGCCGGGAGGTGTACCAGGGGTAGCCGGGAGGGGCCTCGAGACCCAACACCAACGAGGAGGAGGAGGAGAGGGAGCAGACTGGGACCGCCAGGGGAGCAGAGCAGAGGATCCGTCGCCCGCCTCCCCTCCTCACCCCTACCGAGCTGGATCCAATGTCGACCCCGCGGGGTTTCGTGCTCGGCCTCGACCTCAGCACCCAGCAGGTGGTGTGGGGGCGAGGCGGAGGTTCGGCAGGAGCGAGATTGCTCGAGGCATTGTTGACGTGGGGTTTGTTGACGTTGTTGGGTTGACGTGGGGTTTGTTGACGTTGTTGGGTTGACGTGGGGTTTGTTGAGGTTGTTGGGTTGACGTGGGGTTTGTTGACATTGTTGGGTTGACGTGGGGTTTGTTGACATTGTTGGGTTGACGTGGGGGTTGTTGACGTTGTTGGGTTGACGTGGGGTTTGTTGACGTTGTTGGGTTGACGTGGGGTTGTTGACATTGTTGGGTTGACGTGGGGTTTGTTGACGTTGTTGGGTTGACGTGGGGTTTGTTGACATTGTTGGGTTGACGTGGGGTTTGTTGACATTGTTGGGTTGACGTGGGGGTTGTTGACGTTGTTGGGTTGACGTGGGGTTTGTTGACGTTGTTGGGTTGACGTGGGGTTTGTTGACATTGTTGGGTTGACGTGGGGTTTGTTGACATTGTTGGGTTGACGTGGGGGTTGTTGACATTGTTGGGTTGACGTGGGGTTTGTTGACATTGTTGGGTTGACGTGGGGGTTGTTGACGTTGTTGGGTTGACGTGGGGTTTGTTGACATTGTTGGGTTGACGTGGGGGTTGTTGACGTTGTTGGGTTGACGTGGGGTTTGTTGACGTTGTTGGGTTGACGTGGGGTTGTTGACATTGTTGGGTTGACGTGGGGTTTGTTGACGTTGTTGGGTTGACGTGGGGTTGTTGACGTTGTTGGGTTGACGTGGGGTTTGTTGAGGTTGTTGGGTTGACGTGGGGTTTGTTGACATTGTTGGGTTGACGTGGGGTTTGTTGACGTTGTTGGGTTGACGTGGGGTTTGTTGACATTGTTGGGTTGACGTGGGGGTTGTTGACGTTGTTGGGTTGACGTGGGGTTTGTTGACGTTGTTGGGTTGACGTGGGGTTGTTGACGTTGTTGGGTTGACGTGGGGTTTGTTGACGTTGTTGGGTTGACGTGGGGTTTGTTGACATTGTTGGGTTGACGTGGGGGTTGTTGACGTTGTTGGGTTGACGTGGGGTTTGTTGACGTTGTTGGGTTGACGTGGGGTTGTTGACGTTGTTGGGTTGACGTGGGGTTTGTTGACGTTGTTGGGTTGACGTGGGGTTTGTTGACGTTGTTGGGTTGACGTGGGGTTTGTTGACGTTGTTGGAGAGCGGGTTGGCGCACAGGGTGCAGTGGTTGGGAGCGCGAGGACGTTGCGAGGTGTTTGATGTGCGTGATGTTCTTTACTCTTTGCTGAAGTTGCGTGATGTTGGTGATGTCAATGAATCGTTGTTGTGGGTGGCGATGGTGCTCGTCCGTTGCCCAGTGTGGGTGATGTAGGCGGCGTTGTTGATGCACCGTTGTTTTGGAAGGTAAATTGTCACGATGCAATTGACTCATTGTGAATGCGTGGCGATGTGGTCAAGATGCCCTGGGTGGTGTGGAAGTTGTGCGTGATGTTGATGGTGAAGGCTTGTGGGTGTTGAGGATGTTGTATTTGAATAGGCTGACGTGGCGAGGGTGTAAAGGACAACATTGTACCGCTGTAAGGTGTCATTGTGGTTCACGTGGTGATAACGTGGTGGGTCATTTTGGTAGGTGACTTATTGAGGAATGTAATAATGTCAATAATTCGCCTACAAATGCCACACTTGGGCTCGCATTTCCTTTGGAGGAGGTTCCTGCATTCGGATGTTTGTCCATTTTTCTCTTGAATGGGTGTTGTTTTGCGCTTGCGGAGGAACCAGACTACCCGAACATTTGAATGTAAAACACGTCTGCACAGATGGGTGTGCAACATACTCGCTTGTACTGCCCATCGCCTTACAACAGCACATCAGGTTTGGTAGCTTCAGTCCATCGACTATTGGCCTCCAAGTTGCCGGATTAAAGCCATGCACCATCATGCCCCCAGGTGCTGTGGTGAATGATGCGGTGGTAATTGTGATTTCATTTGGTGGGGATGTTAGTGGTCAACATGTTATCTCGTGTTTTAGGGAGGTCGTGCGTGGAGCGGGTGTTGGTGGCGAGATCAGTGTATGGTATAATGCGGTAGATATTGTAATGAATGACGTGCTTAAGAGATTGTAGTGGATCAAATGGTGAAGATGTGATTGGTGATGGGGACGGTGTAACTGGTGATTGCCTGGATATTGTTGTGGAAACGCTCGTTCTGTATTCAAATGACAGGTGAAAGCCATGGTCCTAGATGATGAGCTCGTTGTGCTGACGGAAGTCCACGTCCACTTTGACAAGGATCTGCCCAAATTCAGGTGTGGCCTCTTGACCTTGTTGAGACCCCCAGACGTTCATGAGCTGGAGAGCAGAGCACTGAAATGGGGCAATGATGCAAAATGCAGCTGAATGTAAATTGTATGAAAATTACTTCATCTGATCTACAAGTGTAATAAATCAAGATTAAAGTGTAATAATATTTATTAACACTGAGACCTCCTTTGCCAGTAGCAAGATATAGTAATAGGTTTTTACCATTTTATCTGGCACAAACACTGACACCTTTATACAAGGCATCATGTTTTGCAATAACCACAACACAAGCAGTCAAAATGCAAACAAAAAGAGGTCTCATAGTGTAAATGCTTACCCCGAGCTCTCAATACTCTGATAGTGTGCTGTTTTTGAGTTGTATGCCTTTTGGCGTTTTCTGGTCCAACCAGTGGAGACTAGGCTCTAAGAAAAGCCGTCTCGGGTGTGGACCAATCAAATTCAAGGACAGTGCCAATATTATTATCAGTTGTCTCTTTTGTTTGCATTTTTACTGCTTGTGTTGTGGTTATTGCAAACATCCCTTGTATAAAGGTGTCAGTGTTTGTGCCAGATAAAAGGGTAAAAACCTATTACTACAATATTTATTAAATAATATGTATTAAATAATAAAACACTCTCACACTAACTTGATGGTAATATAAACATACTGAGGTGGCTTAGATGTGCCTACAACTATGATAACACACTATGCAATGTGTATTATGTATCTTAAAGTGTACAGTATATGCCACATACCCGCCTGTAACATCTCTGTTAAAAGGCTCATCTCTATGGATGAAAGCATTATTCATGTCATTTTAGCCAATTACCAAATGCCACATTGTGCCCTGACTCTTGACATTAGATTATCAACATTCATGCTTGCACGAGAGAATTTTGCAACAATGATTAACAACGTGGTTATCAGTTAATGTCCCAACAGCACCAAATGACTTGCAGATTAAAGACTGATAATTGTGTAATGTGACACACCTGATAATTGTGTAATGTGACACACCTCCATGGGGTTTGTTTCACAAGCACCAGGAGGATTAAAGAGGGCCTCATGAAATATCTTGTTCTGTTGTATGATTACACCATTCAGCCAGATAATGTTGCAGCACCCATCCCACAATCGGAAGGCTGCAAATTTAGATCTCAACTGGGTGTTCATTGAGCCCATCATACGTCTAGTGTTGTTAATATGAGTAGTGCTTTGTGGGAAATCGTTAGTTTATGTGTGGATAAATTGGCCCCCGCAGTGCGAATGTAAAATATCCACCGCTACCTCGGATCAACAACAGGGTTGATTGCATTTCATTTTATCATAATTACAGCATATTTACAGTGGGCTTATGCTGTAATGCATTGACAATGTTCAGGTGATTGGACAGTGAACGAATTACCTATACAAAAAACATATATGCAGTCTATTTCATATCGCATTCATAAAATCTATTGACTGTAAGGGACAGGCACGTCGCTTGTTGTTTAGTCAGGTGGAAGAATACTTGTTTTTGTGAACATGTACCATGGCGGTATGCCTGCACTTAGGCTCTTTATACTGATGGGCCATCCATGAGTGGGCGCAGAGGAGGGAGTTGTTAGCGATGGCATCAAAGGGGGTTTAATCCCAACGTTAATTGATTCATCTCAGTAAAGCATTCTTTAGTTATCCATGTATGAGCCCACTGAGATTAATCTTCTCTTTTACAAAAAGACTTTAGAACCATAGTTTTATATGCACATGTAAGGAAGAAGGTTTGTACCAGAGTACAGATTTGAAGCTTTCGTGACTGCAAGGATTCATTATTATTATTTTCCCGAAAAAAAAACAGTACCAGAGTACATTTAGTTCATTTTTCCAAAGCACTCCAAACTGTTCTTCTCTATCTCTTAAATAATGTTGTTCCCTGTCGACATTTACCAGCTGCTCTAGGTATACATACTCTGATATATATTCTAGCTGCTATCCACTGAAATATATCTTCAGTTGCTCGTCAACTTGTTGCACATTAGTTTTGCATACCTCGCCTGATATACAGGCGTTTGTGGGTTCGATCCCGACCCTGACACCTGTATATTTGGAGTTTGCATGTCTGTCTCCCCGTGCTCGCATGGATTTTTCTCCGGGTCCTCTGGTTTTTCCCTCCATATTTAGAAACATGCATTTCCACATCATAAGCCACTTCGTTGAGCTATAATTTGTGGCCAGGTTGCTTCTGAACAAGAGCTGTATATATTATTGGTTCTTTCGGTAAAGTCACATAGAAGGGAAACAATAAAATAATAAAAATATAAAACAAAATTCTCACGACGTTTCGACTGCAACACAAGCAGTCATCATCAGGTGTGAAAACCAACGGCAAGAACATTTGAAAGAAGTGGCGGTTTGTATTTATTTATTTTAAAACGTTAGCACCACGGATAGAGATTTGACAGTTTGTTTAGATCAGGGGTCGGGAACCTATGGCTCGCGAGCCAGATGTGGCTCTTTTGATGATTGCATATGGCTCGCAGATAAAACAAAATATTCTCACTTGTTTTAATCCATCCATCGATTTTTCACTGCGCATGTCCTGTTCAGGGCTGCAGGAGCAATTGTCCATTATTTTAATTGGATGATACTGGCCTACGTTTGCCGTTGCTGGGTAAAACAGGTAAACGCCCCCTTTTGAATCAGTCTGAGACTGCGTCTGCTCGGTCATTAGCTCAAAGCTAACCCTTCGACGAAGAAGATGGCGAAAAGAAAAACAGACGACGAGTATCGTACATTTCAGGACGAATGGACCGAAGAATTCGCCTTTGTGGAGAGAGCAGGTTCTGCGGTGTGTCTAATTTGCAATGACAAAATTACATCGTTGAAACGGTCGAATGTAAAGCGGCACTTCGACACGCGCCACGCTACCTTTGCATCAAAATACCCTGCGGGAGACAGCAGAAAGAAAGCGTGCCAAGAGCTTCTGAGCAGGGTGCAAGCTAGCCAGCAGCAACTCCGCGTATGGACCCGGCAAGGTGACTATAATTCGGCTAGCTTTGCTGGTTCTTTAGCAATAGTGAGGAACGGAAAACCATTCACAGATGGCGAGTATGCTAAAACGTTCATGCTGGATGTAGCCAATGAACTTTTTGATGATCTTCCGAACAAAGACAAGATAATCAAACGGATACAAGACATGCCTCTGTCGGCAAGAACTGTTCATGATCGTACCATCGTGATGGCAAACAAAGTGGAGGAAACGCAAGTGAAGGACATAAACGCAGCGCCGTTCTTTTCTCTGGCTTTGGATGAGTCAACAGACGTGAGCCATTTGTCGCAGTTCAGCGTGATTGCAAGATATGCTGTTGGTGACACACTGCGCGAAGAAAGTCTTGCTGTTCTGCCATTAAAAGGGTCCACAAGAGGTGAGGATTTATTCAAGTCTTTCATGGAGTTTGCTCAAGAAAAAAGTCTACCTATGGATAAACTTCTCTCAGTGTGTACTGATGGTGCTCCGTGTATGGTGGGGAAAAACAAAGGATTTGTGGCGCTTCTCCGTGAACATGAAAATAGACCCATCCTAAGTTTCCATTGCATTATACACCAGGAGGCACTTTGTGCTCAGATGTGTGACAGGCAGTTTGGCGAAGTGATGTCGCTGGTCATTCGTGTGACCAACTTTATTGTTGCCCGAGCCTTAAATGATCGCCAGTTTAAAACACTGCTGGATGAAGTTGTAAATAACTATCCTGGTCTGCTTTTGCACAGCAATGTGCGTTGGTTGTCAAGAGGGAAAGTGCTTAGCCGTTTTGCGGCTTGCCTGAACGAAATCCGGACTTTCCTTGAAATGAAAGGCGTCGGGCATCCTGAGCTAGCCGACACCGAGTGGCTCCTCAAGTTTTACTATCTCGTAGATCTGACTGAACATCTGAACCAGCTCAACGTGAAAATGCAAGGCATTGGAAATACAGTGTTATCCCTTCAACAAGCTGTATTTGCTTTTGAAAACAAGCTGGAGCTTTTCATCACAGATCTTGAAACAGGTCGTTTACTACATTTTGAAAAACTGAGCCAATTTAAAGATGCATGCACAGCAAGTGAGCCCATTCAAAACCTTGATCTCCACCAGCTAGCTGGCTGCACATCCAGTCTCCTACAGTCCTTCAAAGCACGCTTTGGAGAATTTCGTGAGCACACTCGTCTTTTTAAGTTCATCACCCATCCAAACGAGTGTTCACTGAACACAGCCGACCTGAATTACATCCCTGGTGTCTCCGTCAGAGATTTTGAAGCAGAAGTGGCTGACCTGAAGGCCTCAGACATGTGGGTGAATAAGTTCAAGTCACTGAATGAAGATTTGGAAAGAATCACACGACAGAAAGCGGAGTTGGCGAGCAAGCACATGTGGACAGAAATGAAAAAACTCCAACCCGAAGACCAGCTGATTCTCAAAACTTGGAACGCGCTTCCTGTCACATACCACACACTGCAGCGTGTGAGTATTGCTGTATTGACCATGTTTGGATCTACGTATGCATGTGAGCAGTCATTCTCACATCTTAAAAACATCAAGTCCAACCTACGATCACGTTTAACGGATGAAAGCCTCAACGCTTGCATGAAGCTTAACCTCACCAAGTACCAACCCGACTACAAAGACATCAGCAAATCCATGCAGCACCAGAAGTCGCATTAATGGTGAGTGTTATAACAACATTATTTAAAAGAATAAATTCAGAGGTTTATTATACTGACATTTAGTTGAATTCACTTTTAAAATATATTATATGGCTCTCACTGAAATAAATTTCCAAATTTTTTGCTTTCATGGCTCTCTTAGTCAAAAAGGTTCCCGACCCCTGGTTTAGATGGACGAGTCCATCTATGTGGAAGGATTTGATAAACCATTTCAGGTCTTAATTGATTGATCACGCTTAAGGTGGCTTTCAGACCGCATCCATTATTTTTTGTCTCCCTCCTCTTTTCCGAACATAGATGGACTCGTCCATCTGAACAAACTGTCAAATCGCTCTCCGTGGTGCTAACGTTAAAAAACTGCCACTTTTTTCAAATTTTCTTGCTGTGGTTTTCACACCTGATGATGATTGCTGCTTGTGTTGCTGTCGAAACGTCGTTAGAATTGTATTATTTTAAATTTTTATTATTTTATTGTTCCCCTTCTACATGACTTTACTGAAAGAACCAAGAATATGAATCCCTGCAGTCACGAAAGCTTTAAATCAAAATACAAGCAATCATCAGGTGTGAAAACTACAAGAAAATTTGAATTTTTTTAGTTTTTTCTTGTGGTTTTCACACTTGATGATGATTGCTTGTGTTGCAGTCGAAACGTCGTGAGAATTTTATTGTTTTATATTTTTATTATTTTATTGTTTCCCTTCTACGTGACTTTACCGAAAGAACCAAGAATATAATGTGTCCCATGCGTGACGTTACTCCACATGAGGCCCACCTCCTCTGCATGACGTCACTCCACATGAGGCCCACCCCTGTGTGACGTCATTCCACATGAGGCCTACCCCCCCTGCAAGACGTCACTCCACATGAAGCCCACCCCTGCGTGACGTCACTCCACATGAGACCCCCCCCCTCATTCATGAGTGGGTGAATTTTTACACTAACGCGGAAGGTCGAGCTGAATTAAATTTATTACGCAAAGTCTCTTCAAATGTGACGTTTCTTTACAGAAAGTGAAGGTTAAAAATTACGCAGCACACTGCTACATCCGTACGTGACGTTACTATAAAAGAGCCCCCCCCCCCCGTCAATAATCATGAACGGGTGGATTTTTCCACTCCCGCAGAAGGTCGAGCGGAAATAAATATTTTTACGCAAATTTGCTTTAAATTTGACGTTTATTGAAAAAGTTAGTCAAATTTACTACTATAATGAACCAAGAATGTCAGTGTGTCCCGTGCGTGACGTCACTCCACGTCGACCAGCCCCCCTCAATAATCATGCCAGGATCCGTCCTACACATGGACCCCCCTTACAAATTGCACACGCATTGATGCAATGAATATATCACGTCGTGGTCTGATTTTCACTTGCAAATTTCTGATTTACTTCAATACACACCGTCCTTGGATGGGCAAAAGGCTCGTAGTGCCTATATAGTCATCTACACTAGTGGAAGCTAAAAGACAGTTCCACCTGTGACTGGAGCAGAACAAACATTGGAGCACATGGTCAACCGCCCGTTAAGATGATATAATCGAGGCAGCAAAGCAATTCACCAGCTTACAACCAATGCTGTTGGATGGCTAAAGAACCGAGACATAGATTGATAACTTTTTTGGATATTGTAACAATCGATGGCTCATCTCTGCAACAGGGACAACACAACGTAAGAAAGAAGACATCCAATACATTTTTGGAAAACGTGTCACTGAATAACTGGTGAAAACGTGTCTCCTTATATGATTCCCCTTCGAATACTGTATTTTGTTGGTTCTTATAATCCCAGTGTAGTTGTTCCCTCTGTTCGATTTTTTTCGTAATATATTTAGGTATCGGTTTTTGAGAGCTTGGATGATTTGCACCAATGTACAGCGATTTGTATTGCCATTTCAATATCTAGGCATAAGGGCAAAAAAATAATGTTAATTGCTATTATATACATGTCTATTTCAGAATCTGATTCATACTATGTACATGGCCGATGGTATGGAAACATATCTCCAATTTAGTGAGCATTTTGTATATGACCTTTTGTTTTGCTCATATTCGTCCTGAGCCAAACTTTACAGCCTTCTTTAATACATTACTCTCACATTTCCATTGGATGTTATAACTCGGTCATAAGCAAATCAGAGATTATTAATTTTGTATGCATTTTTTCTACAGTCCCATTTTTTTTTAATGTCTTAAAACGTTGCTGTGGATAATATTAGTCTCTTATGTGGTATAGTATTTATAATTTGGCTGAGTGGAAATTTTGATCTTGGAATTTTGGCTATGCAACGAATAGTTATGACACTGGGTATCTATGACCATTTACAGCAGGCAAAGTACGATGGCATTTCCCACATTAAACTTGCTAACTGCATCATTATACTGGTAGGAACGAAGTTGTAAACTGAGTGTACCAGCCTGCAATAGATTAATGTGTCCGTCCGTCCGTCCCCTTTCAATACTTTAACGAAGTTAAAAATTCCAATGTTCCTACCAGCCCACCCTGCAGGGACCTGTTTAATGGGCAACATATACAATATGCTTGCCTGGAGTTAATATTTACTTTACTCATGAAAAAAATGCTACTACATAATCAACTAAACATGCATTTTAAGCTACATTAAAATATATATTTGCAAATCCAAATCTACAGTATGTAAAATATATTGATAGATTGATATTTTACATCATAAAGATGAACTTCGTGTAAAGTGCATTAATATAGCTACTGATTTAAGAGTTAATCATGATCTCCATGTTATCTCATTTTCTTATAGCCTGAACCATGAAGGTAAGATGTCAATTAGACAATGAGTTTTCCCCCAAATATTAACCCTTTTTGCCCCCCCCCCCCCCCTCCTGTTAGTACCCAAGGTGGTGTTCACATTCACGAGGACAAGCTGACGGTGACCTCGCCAGTGCTTATGTGGGTGGAGGTAAGCCAAATAACGCTGTAATCCCTGCGTTGTAATCACGATGAGTCATAAAAGTGAGCACTCCTGCACGTCGCAGTGACCATTCACTGCTCTCAGTCTTGAGGGGCTTTAATAATGTATCTTGCCCATGAAAATAAAAATTAGGCTTTGGAGTCTGGCTCTCAGTTGTTTGGTCTGAGCCAATAACTAGGTATAATTGTGCCCTTTTGCACGAGAAGTGCTGTGCATCGGATTGTTCTCAGAAAACCAAAGAGTGCATTTGTTGAACTTATACAGCTGTAATGCTTGCAACAACAGTGTGAACTTATGCAATGAGGTGAAAACTAGATTGTTGTTTCATGCAAAAAAAATATATACTATTTCGTGAATGTGGCATAGACATGTAAAAAAAATCCTTATATTTTATTTGAATGTCATTTTTGAAATTTTAGAGAATACATCTTTGCTACATTATGGTTAGCAGTATACATAATTACATATATTGTATGCAGTGCTCATGTGTTTGCGCAAGCATGTGAAATAACTATAATATGCAGAGTAGATAGGTGAAGTAGGCATACAATCAAAGTGCAATTAAGCTTGTAGCATTGTATACACGTTTTCTTTACAATATTGCCTTACCCTGTCACCACCTGCTCCCCCTCCACCCCCAGGCTATAGATTTGGCACTGGAACGACTGGTGCAGTCTGGTGTAGATCTATCACAGGTGGCCGTGTTATCTGGCAGTGGCCAGGTGTGTACCTCTGTTTCTGCTACTAAATCATAGAACCACCCTGTATCTTCCAACGTTGTTTCAGGGGACCATTCTTATTCTATATCATTTACACTGCAGAAACGTTTTTTCAGCCATACGTAATTGGGCATTTCTGTTGCTTAAATGTTTGTGGCTCATCCAACTGGATGGTGATGTTACAGATCGCCCAACATGTATATTGATATTTGGAAGTTTAGTTTTCAGTTATGGATAAACTTAGGTTCATTATATCAATTCGATTAATTTAAATACATAGTGCTTTGTGATGAGTCAACAGTGGTGTTCATATTTACAGACTGGTTACTGCCAAAATAATCTGGAATTTTTACTGCTGGTTCAGGCCTAGAAGTGAACCTGAATGAATTTTTGAGCATTTGTGACTCTTTATGAACCATAGCAAGATAAATATAGTAAAATATTGTATTGTAAAGCTTGAGGAGTATGTGATTCTATAATCATCCAAAATGAGATTAGATGTACAATTTTGTTGAATAGTGAAAGAAAATGCCAACATTTTGCCACCTACGGAATGCATTTATTCTCTTGAATATTAGAAGCGGTGAGATGGGTGCATTTGTCAACACTCGACATTGGATGGTAATTTTTATCACTTGCCCAACACAGGCTGGTGAATATATAAATTTAAATGGATAAAGCAAGTTAGTCTTCTGGGGACATCTTTGAAACTCGTACTCATCTTCATCAACCAAAGTGGCATTATTTGTATATAATTTAATGCAGCTTTTCTCCAGTAACAAAGTTTCTAGCCGATCCTGAAAAAATCTGTCTTTTATTCACATAGCTTAAGGGCATTTCAACGTAATTGAACTGGTTCCTTTCACACGCAATTCCATGGACATTCATCCATATACGTCAAAACATTTTAGCAGTCAAGTTACAAAGAACTGTAAGCGCCATTTCATATGTCCTCAGGAGGTCTGGTAAAGGAAAGCGATTTTGAATCCAAATTATCACTCAAGAGAAACACAGAGCCCTGAAAGGGATACATGCTCTCATCAAAGATGTACAGTTATTGAGCATATGGCCATTTTAATCAAATCGAATATGCTAACATAGAAAATAGTATAGTGTACTTGGTCACTGTTTAAAATCATAATTGTTTCACTGCTTTATAAAAGGTATGTGTTAAACAATAAATACAATTAATAAACTATTATTTGCTACATTTCTGGCTAAAACTCCATAGGCCTTGTTAACCTTGGTTATAGAGGTGTAAACTAGATCAAGTTAAACCTCAATGGTATACATAGCTTTGTGGCTGATTAGCTTATTCTATATATATGAAGAAGTGCTCATTTACTGGAAAGCCACGCCTGGCTCACAGGAAACTCAGAACACAAACAGGAATCACGAGCTCAGAAGTCTGATCCTGTGACAATGTGTGTGGCTGGGAAAAGAACTCAGGTCAGCATTGTGCTGCTCCACTGGTGGACGGGTAAAAGTTGACTTACACGAGAGATGGACACGATTATGGGAACCCTTCATCCAGCAGTGGAGTGATCATGGCTGTTTGATGCTCTAAATGCAGTTGTGCCATTCTCATGACATTACACTGCAGTTTGATTATACAATGTTTATAGATGCCTTGTGCTTTCACGCTCTCCACTGAATGAATACAGCAACACGGCTCGGTGTACTGGCGACAGGGGGCTAGGAAAACCCTTCACAACGCCGCAGCCTCTAGCCCCCTCCACCTGACCTTGCAGGTAAGGCTGTGGTTACGGATGGGTGCATTAATGCCTAAAAGGTGTCTCATAAAGAGCTTAGCATGAGGCAGATCCCTCCACTGCATTGTAATTAGTGCAATTGTGGACACCTTGCGGTTTCTGCTGCGGGTGCGCAAAGCAAGATACATTGACAGCTCGTGGCTTAGTCAAGATACTTTAACGCGATTACAATCGCATTAAAGTCAACTTAAGGATAGTTATCCTTAAGTTGAGTTTTCTATTATTGTTCTTTCATATTATTCCAGTCGAACATGTTTTTTTTATTATATATACCAATTTACAAAGAGAATGCCTGGGAAACAATGTACTGTAACTACAAGTAGCTGATCCTGCTGGCGATGTGAAGTCCAAATGTATCTCATCTCCATTGACATTCCAAAGCCATTTATGAACGTATAGGCTGGCTTAATAACAAAAGCTGGATAGGTCCTGGTCTGAAAGCGCTTAGCAGCACATGCTGCTCTATACATATGCCGAGTTGATCACAATTCCATTCAGCATAATAGCATCAGGTTTAGGGTGAAATTGCATGCCGAGCTCTGCTTTACATCAGCGTTCCCCTGCAATTTCAAGGTGTGGTCACAAGATGTCAACCATCGAGCACGGGAGGCACCATGAGTGAGGCATATTGGAATAGAGAATACTGTACTTGTATGTCATAACATGTGGCTACTGGGGAGTGGTGGCGTAGCGGTTAGCACGCTGCGCTACGAACCCGACAACCCAAGTTCGATTCCCGCTGATGGCCAACACCAGTGAGAATGATCTGACACCGGCCCTGGACACTCCCCTAGGTCGACGTAGCCCCAAATGAGTATCTCGCGTGGTGTGTAGACATCGCCACGAGGGAGACAAAGGCGGCCAGGCATGGTGCTGGCCACCCACCCCCTCGTGTGTCGTGCCGGCCTTCTCAGGTGCTCGCTAACAGCGCTTGCCTCAACAGTTTGTTATCGGCTATACGGAGGACGGGGGAATCTTTGTCCTTGTCTTCCTGTTTTCTTAGGGTCCCCTCGAAGTAAACATGAGACCCATAAATGTTTGTGCACACATATATGGATACGTTCAAATTGTACAATATTTTTTTTTACTATTGTGTAATAATTCAGTTGTTTAAATTATGAGAAACCCCATCCCAACAGAACAAAGTAGTGTCTTACTCAACAAATAGATTTAACAACACACAGATGCGCATTGCATGTACAAAAGGTCTTAGTCTCATCCAGTTATTGTTGACATGTAAGGCTGAAAACTTTTTACCATGCAATGCACACCTTTATATGTTGTTAAATTTGTTTTAGTTCATCCTATGGGAGTTCCTCGGCAACTCTCTTCCTTCAGCATTTGTTCAAGATGGAAAACTCTTGATTGGTTTGTTTTTCTGACTTGCATCAGAAGAAGCAGGCTAGTTAAAATACAATTTTCTTTTTCAGCAGTGCCGGTAACCTCACTGGCCATTAATATCTGGCCACATGAGAATTTAGATGCTCATTTTTCACGTGAACTACGAGTAAAAAAAACAGCCATTAGCTGCTATTTCACACTTTATGTGGCTTTAAATGCTCCTACCAAGATGATGGGAAGTGCCCCCTATTTTAACTGGAAGTATTAATGTGCTTCATGTTTGCGAAATCTGCAGTGCTTACTCACAAAATGTGCTGACTTCATCTTGTTGTGAAACAACTCTCTTGCAGTTTAATGTTTTTTGTTTTTCAATATCACAAAGAAATATATTGATGGAAATGATCAATTTTTTGAAATGGTAAAATTGTGCCAAATCTATGCTTTAAAGACTTTATTTTACCTGCAAATCAATCATGTAAATTTTCTTGACAATATTGTATATGTATGATACATCAGTCACTTGTTCTCGATCTAAAGCGTTTGCGGGAATTTAATTCAGCATGCGGAGGTTAGATTTGATGGTTCACACAGGGATATTAGTCCTGAATCACGGGCTCCAGGAGGAGACATTATCACATGCGAGATGCCCACTCAGAGGTAATAACAAAGCAGTGGGAGCAATACTACATATGTAAGAGAGATATATCTGACCTGTCTGCAAGGTTTTTTTATGATTTCCTGTCTTATGCTAGGATGTTCTACAGATATTTTGGTTTCATCCAAAATGCTAAAAGATAGATAAAAGTAAAAATCAAATAATCAAAGTAATTGACACAACACTGCATGCAGGCCTTTCCTTTAAAAGGCCTTAGGACTCATTGAGACGTTTTTGAGTAAACACATTCAATGAGAAGCAGGCTGGATGGCGTTGTGGCAGAGTGTCTGAGCTAAAATGCCATTTGGTGGTCAGTTCAGCCCATTCTTCCCTTCGTGATTGATAAGATTGGAGTCACTTTGTGTGCAGTCAATAGTGATTGCACAATGGAAAGATAAACAACCTAAATAGGAATTCCCAATGCTGACTGATGATTGCAAATGGAGATGATCATGACCCAATGTTTTTTTTTTTAAGCATGGAGACCCTTGACATCTCAATAATATGAGAATGCAGTGAATTCCATTCCATAGTTTGCAAGGGCAACTTGGTTTCCTTTTGGCAGGTTAATACAGAGTATGTGCTTAATGCATGCTGTAGTGACTCCACAGATATAAAACTTGGTAAACAATCAGCCTGATTATTAATCCATAAGTTGTACATCGCACAGGGGCAACTTCCTCAACCAAAATTGTTCCTCTATGCAAGTTTAGGACCATAAACCAATCTTGTCCAAACTCATATTTGAGGATATTTGAAGGTGAGGTCACATTGCCGGTTTCTCTGTCTTCATTGCCTCCCTCTACCCCCCCCCCCCCCCCCGGGCTGTGCCTCTGAGGCAGGGGTGCTTCTCGCTGGACGAAGTGCCCGTGTGGATGGACTCGAGCACGGCCACTGAGTGCAGGCAGCTGGAGCAGGCCCTGGGTGGTGCTCAGTCCTTGGCGGACATCACAGGCTCTCGTGCCTATGAGGTAGAAGTTTGTGGTGGGGAGGGATCACTGGGGAGGTGGTGGCTTTGCTGGAAGGTGTGTATGGTATCTTAGAAACGACGATTGTTGAAATTTGCTGATTTGTCCCACTCTCCGCACACGCGGTCGTTTGTGGAGGGAGCGTTCACCGTTCACTTAATATAGATCGATTCTTGAACAGAGCAAATGGTTGTCATTCATTATTATTGAGATAGATTCTGAAGTAATCTTGACTTAAAGCTTTTGTGACTGCAGGAATTCATATTCTTGGGTCTTTCGGTAAAGTCACGTAGATGGGTTCAAAGAAAATCATCAAAAATAACAGAAAACTACGACGTTTCGATCGCAACGCAAGCGGTCGTCTTCAGGAAAAGGGGGGGGGGGGGTCGTCTTTAAGAAAAGGAGGGTTTGCTTCCAAGGGAAACTGTTTATTAGGGTTTGAAATGGGCATAGCCCAAATGTCAGCAGCCAATGATAATGTAAGTGTTCAGCAGCGAGCCCGGCGGTGGTTCATTTTCCACCAATCAAAGGGCTGCCAGGTGAAAATTAGCATATTAAAGAGAGATTAACATGTTAATGGAGATCGCAGAGCCGCAACAAAGGGGTCGGCGCGTGAAGTGACTGTGAAAGCGCAAGTTTGAAATGGGCTTAAAGCACAACTAACATCGGACGGTGGTAGGATGGGAACATCATAGCCAATTATGACTTAAACTGGTTGATAACGTCCTTCCAATGATTGCTCAGTTTGTACCCATCTTCTCGGTTGAAATTGTGCCTGTTTCTAGATATATGGATGGCTTCATGAACGAATCTTTGTTGATAGCCAGTGCGCTTGCAAAGTACCTCCGTCTTAGTGAAATCAATTTCGTGTGAGCCCACCGCATTAAAACAATGATCAGCCACGGCCGAGGTATTGGTCCTACCGTGTTTCAGATCTTGCCTTATGTTCACGAACACGGTCCAAGACATGTCGCTTAGTTTCCCCAATGTAACTACTGCCGCAGGCACAGCTTAGTTTGTAGACGCCGGGGTATTGCATGTCAGGGATCACATCCTTCACAGATGGGATCAGATCACGAATTTCATGTACTGTGTTAAATCAAACCTGGATCTTGTGTTTGCTCATGATTTTGGAAATATTTTTAGTGACCCCTGCTATGTATGGCAAGGTGATGGTTTTGATTGGGTCCTCAGATGGTTCTTTCCCATCGGTTGGGGTGATAGCTTTACAGATTGTGTAGTCTGAATATCAATTCATCTTGAGAGCTTGGTGTACGTGTTCCAGTTCACTGGCTAGGTGATGACGGTCAGAATACATTGAGCTCTATGGTGTAGTGTTTTGATGAGGGAATTCTTCTGGGATGGATGCTGGTGGGAGTCAGGTTTTAGGTAGGCATCCGTATGGGTGGCTTTCCTGTAGACAGTGTCCCATTGAGCCATCTGGTTAAAACATCCAAGAATGGTAACTTGCCATCCTTTTCCCGCCTTCATGGTGAATTTGATGGCTTGGTGTATGGAATTGATGTGGTTGAGGAATTGGTTCAGAGCTGGTCGGCCATGTGGCCAGATGAAGAATGTGTCATCTACGTACCTCTTCCACAATGACGGACGTAGAGTGGATGCCTGGATGGCATCTGTCTCAAAATTTTCCATGAAAACATTGGGTACAACTGGAGATAAGGGAGAACCCATTGAGGTACCTTCAACTTGTTTGTAGAATGTTCCATTCCAGGTGAAGTAAGTGTTGGTGAGGCAGTGTCTCACCAGGGACGGTACATCAGCATTCAGTCCTTGTTGGACCAAATCTTCAATGATTGCAATGGTGTCATGCACAGGAACTTTGGTAAACAAAGAGACCACATCGAAACTAGCGAGCAAATCACCTGGAGATAGTGAGATGTCCTTAATTAATGATACCAAGTAAGCTGAGTTGAGTACAGCTGAGGTGGTCTTACCAGTGAATGGTTGTAAGGTCTCAGACAGAAATCGGGCCAGTTTGTAGGTGGGTGAGTCAATGGTGGAAACGTTAGGACGAAGTGGTGTACCTTCTTTATGGATTTTTGGTAAGTCATACAATCTGGGTGGTCTAGCAGCAGAGGGTTTTAAGGAACAACCCAAGTGCAAGTGGGCGGGGCTAGGGATGGAATTTGCAAGTGAATGCAAGATCGCAGAGCTAACACATCTCGGCCAATCCGAGGAGGGGGGAGGGAGGGGAGGTACCGCCGCAACGGGCAAGAGGGTGGGGGTGAAATTTACAGAGGGAACAAGGTGATAGAGAGGGGAAAAAATGTCACACTTAGCAAACTTAAAAATGTAATGCAACTCAGAGAGTCGGCCAACACAACAGTTAACACTGTACCTGGTTGATCAACGTCCTTCCCAAGATTGCTAAATTTTGCATCCACCTTCTCCGTTGAAGCTTAAAATCAAGATTGAGCCGCCTCTACGGGGAGGATTTACACACAACTCAGACATGACTTCAACGGAGAAGATGACATTTATTTTTCTCTCTATCACCTTGTTCCCTCTGTAAATTTGACCCCCATCCTCTCGCCCGTTGCGGCGGCCCCTCCCCTCCCTCCCCCCCTCGGATTGGCCGAGGTGTGCGAGCTCTGCGATCCTGCATTCACTTGCAAGTTCCATCCCTAGCCCCGCCCACTTGCCCTTGGGTTGTGCCCACCACAGGCGTATGTGGCCTCTGGTTGCGGTGGCTCTCTCGCTAAATATCCTCTTGCCTCAGCAGTCCGCCTGCTGTGTTGTTTCACCTGAAGATGATGGCTTGTGTTGCAATCGAAGCTTCATTATTTATTAGTTATTTTTCTATCTACGTGACTTTACCGTAAGAACCAAAGAGTAAGGTAGATGGATTTAGAGAGGTTGCAATGTAGCACTGTTACACATTTTAGATTTAAAAAGCCACTGGTTTCCTCAGCATGGAATGCAGCTTTAATGATAGATTTTTGTCCTCACAAACGTGACACGGGGTCAGCTGCTGCAGCTTTGCAACTGCAGGGGACTCTGGGGGAAGGCTCTCCCACAAAGCACCTTCACCACCAGGCTTAGCAGAGTGCAATGCCATTTGACTGAAACGTTGATGCCAATGTCTCTTCGGCAGCTGAACACGCTATTTATTGCAGTCAGACCTGATGACACATGCCTGTTGTCTGGCGCTTTAGCCATAGGGTTGGTGGATCACTCAGAATTAATCTGTGTGTGATAAATCCACTTGTAAGTATAGTAATTAGTTGTCTGGTCAGTCTGGTGTGTAAGTTATTGTCTCTGAGTACTCTGGTTACCTGCCACATTCAAATGCGGAAAAACCTCACAAAGTGGGGCTCGAGTATTTGAATTTGGAACTCGGGAATATCCAGACGGTCTCCAAAAATCGGTAACAACAACAAAAAGTACTCTGACTCGAACGCTTTAGGCGATAATTAAGCTGAGTACAATATGATGTGTCAATTCAAAAGGGTTATACGGCTTATCCACTGTACGGAAATCGGTGAACTTGTGCAATTGAATGCAGTGATCTTCCACATGCATTGTTAGGGCTCTTGCTATCTGTTATTTATTTTATATTTACTTACAAAAAAAATACATAAGCCCATGAAAATCAGCCTGTTTCTTGGGTTTAACAATCAGACCTCTACCTCTGCATCACAGCAATGGTAAGTGACTTGGATTAAACTGTAGAGTGCTAGATTTTTTTTGTCTTCTTAAATTAAAAATATGAAGTTTCAAATGCTCAGTTTTTTGTTATTATGTGTTCATTAAACGTGTTAGATATTACATGTAAATGTAAGTAAAGCTTAGAAGACAACCATTAATTAAGTATGTGCAGATTGCCAGACAACCCCATAAGCAGAGAGGCTGCCACTTCAAATCTGTACTTCTTTGAGAGGTTTTAATAAATAATTGAAATGTCCATAAGCAGAACAAGTCTGATAAAGAGTCCTGGGGGGGTTATTGATGTTTTTATATGTAAACACATTAATTAGCTATATGCCTGTTCATAAAGAATGAAGAATGAACAGGCATATGGGAAAAAAATGAATTGTAGAACATATTCAAAGGAATTATACTCTAGAGAAGAGCCACTGCTTAAAATCCTAGCCTTTTATATCTATTTATTTATCTTGCAAAGGCAACGTTAATGTCAAATGTGGTGAGTTTTTATTTGTGCTTTTCAAAGAGGTAGACACCCTGAATGCGGGATTTTTTTTTTAAGAATCACCAGCAGTGAAAATGAGATAGTGGTTTTTGTATGAATGTAAATTGTGGTATAGAATCAGAAGTACAGAATGCAATATTGGATACATTTAATACACAGTGCTCACAGACCCTATCTTTTGCACGCGAAAGGTCCTGAACACATTCCGAGAAATCTATTTCGATTCAGAAAATTTGGTGAACACCGCACATTGAAAATATCCAGCCATTTTCAGGTTGCCTGCAGGTGTATTTATGAATTTGTCACAGTCCAGCATTGGAAGCTACGGATGTGCACTGTGTACAGAGTTGTGTGCTCTTTCACTGTGACCCCCTATCCTGAGCCGTGCGGCTGCGGCGATTGTCGAGACTCCACGAGCCGTTATTCAATAAGCTCGAATTCAATTCCAAGAAAGGTGTAACATGTTAGTCCTCCGACCTCTAAAGTGAGATGCAATGTGCATTTATAAATTGATTGCACCAGTTGTGTTAATTGTTATTGATTTCAAACGTTCATCCCCCTGATAAAGAAGTTATTATCTTTATCCAAGTATCGGGGGCCTTGACTGGATGAGGAATGCACTGATTCAGTGGATATGTGTTTTCTCTGCCTCCCACTGGAATCATTCATGGTGGCACCTATTAAAATAGCTAATTGAAGCTGTGCAATGGTCCCAATTAAGTTTCCAATAAAAAGTAGCTGAGTGTCTCGGGAGGCTAAACTTTACACCTGTATAGGAGCACTAGGCCAGGACCACTTTGATCTCTGGTTTTAATTCCATGCTTCAAAGGCC